GATGGCAATCAATGCATTAACTCTTTAAATAACAGCGTGGGTGTTTCAATAGTCAAACAGTAGGTATGTATGATGGAACAGATTCTCACTGCTGCTCATCCAGTTGTTTTCCTTGCTGTTTAAACCAAGCTGAAGACTCCAACTTCCACTTAACTAAGCCACCAACCACCATTTACACTTCATCGCTCCGCTGCACCTCACCAGCTATATATAACTACTGCTCTCTGTCTGTCTAGCGACTGCTGTATAACCAGTTACTAGTTACTAGCTACCTCTATGTCTCTCTCGATTCAGCAAACAGCCCTGCAGCAACCGCCAGCCTTAACATCCATCCATCATCACATTGGTGACCCCATATCCCTGTGGTCTAGGTTCTCCTGAGGCTTCTCCCGCTGCTCTTGACGGTTTGCCGCCCCCACCGCCGGCTCCCGCCTGTTCGCGAACCACCAAAACATCGAAGAACCCGCTTCAGTCCGTATAAACTCTTCGCGCGAACCCCCAAAAAATCCAAAGAACAATCGCAATCGCCACCATATATACCTACATAGAATCACAAACCCACCCGTCGCGATTTACTTTTAAACCCCTGGAAAAGTCCTTTGCCGCATCCTTAACTATCCCTCGCCCAAGAAAACGAGACCAAGAAAATACACCGTATAAAACAACTTTTTACCCCCTCCCTTTCTCCTCCCAAACCCCCATACATATATATATGTCATAGTATGTATGGCTTTGTAGAGAAAAATCAAGAAAGACAAACCTCTCTCAAAAGAACCAATCTCACACTCCACCCAAAGGACGACGAGAAAGAATAAAATAAAAAAAAAAATACCACAAAAAAGGGCAAAGGAATGCTTCTAAAACTATCCACGAGCCTCCACTACCCGATCACCGTCACCGAGCTGTTGAAGCGCCCCGGCGACACCATCCAACAAGGCGAGGCCATCTTCGCGTACTACTACCGCACAACAGTGACGGAGGGCGACGGGTTGGGAAACAAGATTGATGTCCTCAAGACCTTCCCGACGAGGTTTGAGTCTGTGGTTGATGGGGAGTTGGTTGACTGGAAGGTTAGGGTTGGTGAGGTTGTTGAGAGGCCGTGAGTTTGGCTCCTTTTGTTGAATTGTATTGATATGCTGCGTGTATTATGCATATAATCCAATTGCGCTTCTGCAACTACAGGCTGAGAGGTAAATACTGACTACGTTTTTGTCTGTTCAGGATTGACGTTGCGGAGATCCATGAGCCGTGTTCCCATGAGGTGCAGTTTGGCGGCATGTGCGCCAACTGCGGGAAGGATATGACTGAGTATGCGTCTTTCTATTCCCATCTATTTCTCCCCGCCCCGGCTTTCGTGCATTTGCTAACGTCGGCCTTTATCATCACAACACTACAGATTCAACTACAACACCGAGGTGCTCGATTCCTCCCGTGCCCCAATTCGCATGATCCACGACAACTCCTCCCTAACAGTCAGCAAAAGCGAAGCAACGCGAGTAGAAGAAGATGCGAAACGGCGCCTCCTTTCATCAAGACGCTTATCCCTCGTCGTCGACCTCGATCAGACCATCATCCACGCGACCGTGGACCCGACGGTGGCAGAATGGCAACAGGACCGAGACAACCCGAACCACGAAGCAGTGAAGGACGTGCGTGCTTTCCAGCTCGTGGACGACGGCCCAGGCATGAAGGGATGTTGGTATTACATTAAGCTGCGACCGGGGCTGCAAGAGTTCCTGCAGGAAATCTCCGCGCTATACGAGCTGCATATCTACACCATGGGGACGCGCGCGTATGCGCAGAATATAGCCACCATCGTGGATCCGGACAGGAAGATTTTCGGAGATAGGATTCTTAGTCGCGATGAGAGCGGGAGCTTGACGGCGAAGAATCTTCAGCGGCTTTTCCCTGTCGATACGAAGATGGTTGTTATCATTGATGATCGGGGGGATGTGTGGAAGTGGTCTGATAATCTGATTAAGGTGTCGCCGTATGATTTCTTTGTCGGGATTGGGGATATCAATTCTAGCTTCTTGCCGAAGAAGCAGGATCTTAAGACACCTCCCAAGGGAGGTGCTAAGGTGACGACGAAGGGCACTGCTTCTGCAGCGGGGAGAACGGCGGTTAATGGGTCGCCAGGGGCAACGGGTACAGATGGGAAAGCAGACACGGAAGTATCCGCTTTACAACAACTGGTTACCATGGGCGGTGGTGATGATCCCGAGTTACTCCAGGAACAGGCCAATGAACAGGAAGAAGCGATCGCACATCAAGTTGAAGAACGGCCGCTGCTCCAGAAGCAAAAACAGCTCGACGCGGAGGATGAAGCGGCCGAATTGCTAGCTTCCAGCAGCGAAAATGGCGATTCATCCAGTGAGGAATCGCATGACTCGTCGCGCCACCGGCATCACCTGCTAGAAGACAACGATGGCGAACTATATAGACTCCAGGAGCGGCTGAAGGCGGTCCACAAGGCGTTTTTCGACGAATATGATCGGCGACGGACGAATTCCCTGGGAGGCAGGGTAGCTGCGCTACGAGGTGAACGTGCACCACCGACTAGGGATAAGGATATAGATCTCCATATCGTCCCGGACGTAAAAGTGATAATGCCGCAGATCAAGCGGGTGATCCTCGACTCCGTCGTCCTTGTATTCTCCGGCGTCTTACCGCTGGGAACCGACATGCAGAGCGCGGACATCTCGATGTGGGCCAAGAGTTTTGGCGCAACCATCTCGCACAAGATTAATTTGCGGACAACGCATCTTGTGGCGGGGAGGAATCGGACGGCGAAAGTAAGGGAGGCGACGAGGTATCCAAATGTCAGGATTGTGACGGTGCAGTGGCTTTTAGATTCGATTACGCAGTGGAAGCGGCTGGATGAGGAGGCGTATCTTGTCCATGTCCACCCGGAGGATAGGGGGGAGCCGATTGGTGAAGGCGAGGGAAATTCGTCGTCGTCTGGGTCGAATAAGGGCTCTGTGTCGAATTCGAATGGGAGTTTTGATGAGGGGTCTTTGCTCTCTTCGTCTGAGGATGCGGAGGATGGGGATGATGATGATGATGACGACGACGACGAGGAGGGGGAGGCGGATGGTGGCACGGATAATAATAGCGAAGATACGGAGAGCGAAGCGCCGAGGAGGGGATTGAGGATACGAACGCGTGATATCGATGAAGAGATTTTGCAGTCAGCTGGTCTAACTGAGCATTCGCCTATTGGGTATGATGCTGGCGAACGGGGCTGCGGTGCATGATGAGCTGAGGGAGTTTTTGGGGAGTGACGATGAGGGGAGCGAGAGTGAGAGTGACTTTTCGATGGGGGGGTCGTTTGGGCAGGGAAGGGAATCCGAAGGGCAAGGGGAGA